TATTTTTGTACTTTCCATTTTTATTTCAATTATAAAATTTCATTTTTTTTATCATTAAAAATTACAATAAAAAATATACTGTTTACATATTCAATATTTTATTCAGATATTGAATATGTAAACACAAAGATAGATATGTTATTATAATATAATTTAAACATAACATAATTCTTTTGGATTCTCAACTGTACAATAGAAAATTATCAAGGAGAGAATTTTTTAAACAAAATTCCCTGAAGAATTTCCTGATTTTTCCAAATACAAAAGAGAGAGATCCCTGAGAATTCGAAATTTTCCATGTTTTTTCAGGGAGTGGACATTCTGAATACACGCGAGCTCTAAATACAGATAGCCGATGGACCGGCTCTCGGAGCGACCGGCTAACTACTCGGTTAACCGATTCGCCCGGTTAACTACTCCGGTTAGCGATTTAACCGCCGCGCTGCTAATCACCCATTCGGTTAACCGCCCCGGCCGCGGCTACAAACGGAGACGCGCGCGGAATTTCGATCGCATAAGCGCGCCCGCTCATTCGTTGGTTCGTTCGTTTGCGGCGGAACGTGTGTGCGGAAGCGCCGAGTTAGGAAAGTACCTCGCGGATGTAGCCTAGCGCATGTCGAAATGTTCGGCATTCTAATGAGGAGAGCGGCGCGCGTTCATCGGCGTTGCCTTATATATATTTCGTTGCGTTCGCTGCGTTGATTGTTGCCGCGCGTGGGCGATAAGTCGCGTGCCTTCCCCGCCCTTTTGAGCTCAAAGGATTAGGCAAACCAGTTGTTAATCGCTCGTAATCAAATACCGCCCTTACAATGAGATATTTGCTACATTATGAGATTCATTTAATGCAAAACAAATGATCGACATTCCGTAAATTAATGAAAATGAAACGTGTCAAAAAATAATATTTCTAGAAAATTTGTGAAAATGAAAGAATTATTTTTCGAGTGGCGTTGTTTTGTTTTCATCTACCGTAAAAAGTAGGCAGACATAGTTGTGAAATCATATAGTAAAACCATCTATCATGTTTTTTTTTATTTCACACTTAGTATCATATTTTAATTATCTTTTCATTTTGTTCCTCATGTATTTAATTATATTTTGATAGAGATGCTGTTAAAATTTCAAATTTTAATTATGATTTATAGAGTAAATCATTTAAGCGCTTTTAGTTGTTCGTATCTTTTGATACAAGTAAAATAAATCGATAAAAAAACACTTAATAGATTTGAACATTCTTGTATGTTCAACATTATTTGATTTTACTTATTATTAGATATGTCCAAAAATCATTTCGAGTAATTCAAAATACTTAGAAAATTATCTTTTCTTCTTAAAAAATAAAAATTTGTGATATTTTAATTAAGCGTACCCGCTATTTGCAAAGATTACCTACATATTTTCACGAAAGGATCTCTAGAACGCGCAGTACCCTTTGCTCATGATGGAAGACGCCATTCGTCCTGAATTCCCTTTCATGAAATTACTCTCCCAATTACATCGCGATTACTTGCGCGGACCTAATAAACGCGAGTCAATAAGCCGACAGGTAGGCAGTCGGTATTGCCCGCGGATCTGAATAGGAGTTATGCCTCACTGTAATGCTGAATTACTGTCTCAGCCCGGCCACGTGATTAACATCGCGGAGGCTCGCGGTAACAATTAGAGAAACCTCGAAGAGATCCGCCGGTCTGCGGCAATAGATAGAGCACCGGGAAAGCGAGAGAGAGAAAGCGAGAGAGAGAGAGAGAGAGAGGCCGATTACGTCGCAGCGCGATATTTCACGTCACTTCCGGTTACAAACCTCCTCCGAGCGGGTTATGAGACGCCATTTAGTAGGAGGGAGATACGCGCGCGGACGAAGAGCGACTCCCCACCATCGAGAATTAATTTGAATTGGATTACCATGAATATTGTCGGCGCTCGGCGAGAGGTCGGACAAACGTATTTCCGTCGCGAGCTAAACGCTCCGGAAAAAAGAAAATAATAATTCGCGCGCTCTTTGACCATCAACTGCAGAATACCGTCTATCAATTTGTAAACGTTGGCGAAAAATAAAATTTTATATTTTATTTATATGTAGAATCTCTCTGCAATATTATATATATATATATATATATATATATATATATATATATATATATACTCCTGGACAAAATTAACGCATAATTTTTTTTCACTTTTTCTTTAAAAGTTGATATTTAAATTTTGACGAAAAAATTTTAAAGAAAAGGTGAAAAGAAAATTATGCGTTAATTTTGTCCAGGAGTATATCATGCAAAATATTTCTTTTTATATGAATAAATAAATTTCTTTTACATCGCTTTCTTAAACACTTTCAATCATAAAAAAAATTGCCATTATATTACATATATAAACTTTTTAATTTTTAAAGTTCTAATCGTGATTCAGAAAGAGATACGAAAAGATAATAATTATACCGTCTTTAAAGGACAAACCAAACCGAGTCGAGACGATATAGATGCGAATTATAAAGTAAACAAAATGAAAACCGGACGTGACCAGGAAACTTTTCTCCAGAACGATAACTTCCTCGATAAGAAAGCAGTGGATCGTATTGAAAAGATAAAAATGTATATGGACAGTGCAATACGTTTTTTCGACGCGAGCTTCCTCTCATTAGCGTTAGATGATAACCATCGGGTCCAAGACGAGGACCGAAGAAATCCATCGCCCCGGGGCGATCTTTAATAACCGAGACGGACGCAACTTTCTTCGCGGCTTCCGTTTTCGCCGAGAAAGGCTGTGAATTATTTCCAAGAGATTCGCCTCAATACGAGACTCATTGTTGCCGCGCGAATCTATTGTGCGCGAATCTGAAAGTTCGCCAATTTGCGTTTTGGCCCTTAGCGATTGAGAGAAAGCGTCGGGGACGTCATTTCGAAATGCGCCAATGATACTTTATTAGAGGGAGTCAAAGTCCGGGAATAAATTCGCGAAAAAAATTGTAATTTTGATCGTAATTGAACGTAATTTAAATTTTATATATAAAGTATCAACAGCGAGTGTACATCTCGGATTCTCCTGTGGATTTTCTTTCATTAACTATGCATACCGACCATGACAGTGATGATAATGAATCCCGCGGGAAGCGGGGAAAAATCTTAGCATCGCTTCGTATTTAATTACTTATATGCGTAGTTAACGTCGCGCTCTCTCTCGCGTCTCCGTGATAGTGCAACGCGGGGGTGGCCAAACGACGTCTGACACTTTACGAAAATCGGAAAATCGCGAGCGACGGCTAGGAATACATAATATCGCGTCGCGTGACAGCGACAGGTACGATGCAAAGTATCCCAGAACTACTGCCCGAATTTTTGCGGCAAATTTAATGACATTTAGCCTTAAAAAAATTATCGTGAAAAAATGATTGATTTTCAAAATCAATAATTGGGGAAACTGAGAGAAAATTGAATTAGTAAAAATTTAAATATATTAAAAAAAGCGCAAGATTTTGAAACGTAACGCTTCATGGCGGAGATGATTTTGAACTTTTAAGACGAAAAAGAGGGAGAGAAGAAAAGGTAAAAAAGAGAAAACTTTTAGAAATTCTTAAATTTAAATTATGAAAGGAGAAGATCTCCCGCTGAATAATTGCGCACTCAAGAAAAACGTCTCACGAAAACGCTTCGGCATCCCGGCAATTTCCTCTCTCGCGGGCCTGCCCTCTCGTTCTCCACTCTATCTTCATCTAATCACTTTTGCTTTCGTCAACGCGCCGCCGCGGGCTAAACGACAGGCGTTGATGGAATCCGGCGTGGCTCGGGAAGAAGACGTCGAAGAAAGAAACGCGATAGGTTTCCTGAAGGGCCAAACTGCACCGAAAAAAGAAATGAGAGAGAAGCAGGGGGATCGAAATCTCCCCCTTTCGGCAGAGCGAGATGGAGCGAGAGCGCGAGGATAGGGGGTTCTCGCACCCTGCGGCGATCAGAAAGTTTAACGGAAATGCACCCTCGCTCGGGAGTCTCTTTAGGTCGTCGCGACGCCTCGGGAATTGCATAAAATAGAGAGGAAAGGCGGGAGGCCTATCTATTGTGATTGATATGGGACGCGTTCAGCGGCGAAGTCGTATATCTCGACGGAAAAAATATAATAATCGCGTTTCTCCGCCATTTATATAGTGCGTTAAACGACAAACTTTGCGATGAATCGCGATTCAATCGAATCCTTCCGAGAGATGCACAAAAGTCTCGTCGCTCGTTAGAGTAAAATTCTCCTATACGATTGTCGGTTATATCTCTTTCTCCGTCTTTCTCCCTTTCTCTTTTTATTCTAGCGTTTTGTGAAATGTCTTTTAAGAGAGCGAGTGACAAAGGGAACCCCGCGAACGAAACGTCTCGAGAGGCTCCGAACTTGAAGCCCGCGATGGAACAATAGCCCCGCATATGTGTGCAAGCGCGTATATAGGGTGACCGTATTTTTTTCGTAGTAAAAGAACACGTTATTGTTTCGCGAAACTGTTTTTCAGCGAATAAATCTTTTTGAGAAAACAAATGGATATATAATATTGAAACAAAGATGCATATTCTGAGAAAAATATATTTTTCGTCACCCTGTACGCATGGATGCGTGATATTTATGTAGGCTACGTATATAGTGTCGGTGATAATTGTATCACTTCTCATGTGAAGATAGAGCGATAAACCAAATAAAAAAGTTCTCTACCATTTTGAGATTTTAATTAATTAATTAGAAATTGACGAAAGAAGCAGTCCAATATTGTACAGTTGCTAGGTGCGCGAAGAAGCATTGAAGTTAATAATTAAGGATTTAATTAAGTATTGTGTTTCGCGCGAGTCGATCGATTTTCTAAAATTAATTTCTCATTCATTATTGCGAAAATCGTCAAATGATACAAGATTTTCCTATTCGGTTTATTCCGCTCTACTTACATACGAGAAATGATGTGTTTATTATCAGAGACCTCGTATAGGAACGGATATGACATGCATTTAAAATCGAATGAATTAAATGAGTCTTACGTAACGACGATGGACAACAGCTCGAAGCCGTCAAAGTGTTAATTGCGACCTCGATTACCCTGGCTGACAAAAGCGCGAGGCAGTCTTCTGTTGGCAACATCGATTCTGAAAAACATGGATGAAATTTAAAAAGACCCAAATAAAACTTGTGCGAATAAAAACTAGAAAAATAATTATAATATAATTTTGCATGCGCAAAATTTGGCACGTAATCAAATCTTTTGTGAGGACACACATAGGTTTAGATCTTCTAATGTTCATGAGAGATAATAATATGTATAAAACATCATGCGCATGTTTTTTTATTTCATTAAAATCGATTATTTTATATCAAAATATTAATTTATAAGTATATTTTTTCGACTGAAAGTTTTCTATCTAATATCTATCGATCTGGGTTGTTGTCGAAACTACTATGCTCGTGCGTCACGTGTAACTATGTCGTTAAACTTTGTGCCGTCGTGTTCGTGGGATAACTTGTATTACTAACACGTCTATTAAAAGTTCGGCGCTCAGCTACGAGGAGATTCGTTAACGAAATTTATCCAGCTCTGCGACGAATCGACAGCAACAATGGACAAGAACATTTTCCAATATGGTGGAAGTTTAGAGAGTCTAATATAAAATTGTGATTCACGCACACGCATACGCACGAGAAAATCGGGGTAAAATCGAATATCGCGATACTTTTTCCGATAAAATATAAGAGCATATATTTTCCATAAATCGGCGCGCACGAGATGTATGGAAAATTGAATTTTTATTTTATATTACCATAAATAAATCCGATTTATTATGGTTTATCAAGCTGCAAAATGGGTTTACCTGTGTGTTTATATGCGCGAGATGAAACGATACGCGTTGTAGAGGACATTTTATCGATTTCTCTACCACCATACATATTTGTATTCGATTCAGATGCTCATTACAGGATTGTCTTCGCATGTATTCGATTGTGGCACACAGAGGAAAATATTCTACTGCCAAGAAAAGCGACTCAGCTTGTTTTTCTTCTTTTAAATAATAATTTTCTTCAACAAGAATATATTCTTGATAATAGTTCTTGATAATAAAATATATTCATTACAAGTGTTAGAAAATCTCATTACTCGAAAGAAGAATTTATTTTCTCTTCAAGAATATTGTAAAGTTGTATCAAAGAAAAAACTTACTTTATGCCAACTGTTGTAGTAAGTAAGCCAAATTTTTGTTTTAATTCAATTTTAATTTAATATTTTAATTTTAATTTAATATTCTTGACTAAAATACACTGCACTTACTAAAATTCAGAATATATTCAATTAAATTTAATCCTTGTGCTGACTTATGATACATTTACGGATATACAAACTTATGATATATTTAAAATAAATAATATTTACTTGAATACAGTATACATTTTTCTCTGTGCATACTCTATCAAATTCGTTAGCGTTAAAGATATCGATGGCAAACGTGAAAACTGAATATCTCGTTAATTCTACGCTTAATATTAGGATCATAATTTGAAATAACAAATGATGCCGAATCATTCCTTCACAGGAAAAAAATATTTTCACGTCACTCAAAATATTACATATCTGATTAATTCGGCAATATTTTAGATTTATGCGCGATATTTTGAATATTTAATCCCATACTTTTCCCTGCGCTCGCTTCTTCTCGGTACACCCCGTGTATTCGCACTCTCGAAATCTCTCGGCACACGGACAGAACACACGCGTATGGGATCCCCTCGTAAAGTGCATACATTCCCGCCGCTCGTGCGAGACGTAGGAAGCCGTATGTGCATTGAACATTGATTTTAAACCAGGGCGAGGGGGAGCCTGGCGGTGTAAAAATGCGGGGGATTTGCGCGCCATCTTACTTTTAATGGAAAAAATCGCAGGGAGGAGACGCGCGGGGGCGGGGGTGGGCGCGCAAACCGGAAGACGGATGTGGGAAAGATTTCACCGACTATCGAGACTCGATGGACCGACCGACGCCGTGGAACGGCGGCGGACATTGGCGTAGGAGCAGCAAGGCTTTCGCCGTATTTTTCTTCTCAGCCCATTTCGCACGTGTCCCGTTTTACACTTTTTATCTCTCTCGTCGGCCAAGTGATTCTTTAACGTCAACGATACCTCGAAGGCACGTGTCAGCTCCGTTGCAGCGCGTTGCGTTAAATGTATTGCGAAGTAATTTTTTTTCCACGCAATTTTGCCACCTCTTTGTAACCAAGTCGCAGAATTTGAAATAAAATGTTTTTCCTTCTATTTTTTCATTTTACTCTCTCTCTCTCTCTCTTTCGACTCACTTTCCTTCCTCCCTTTGCATAATTTTTTCCAGCGAAAATATTCGTTTGCGCGAATAATTCACCATCATCGCGCGATAAAACTTATTGACTCGTACGTGAGAGCAACGCGCGAAATATTTATTAGAGAAAAAAAAAACGATGGAGAATGCACGCTCCACCAGTTTATTCGTGGCGTATCTATCGGGTAAACGTTCAAACTCCCGCGAAGCGTAATTTAGTTAAAGGGTGTAAGCGCATAACTTTCGTAAAACACACCGACTGTATTATTCAAGACGGCGATAACACGTGGTGGCTAACAAACGACCGCCCGTACCTTCCTGGCAATTTAAGGGGTCAAAAAAATACGCCGTTACGTTACTACGTTCATAGGCTACTTTCCGTGGGTTACGCTGCCCGTTACGGATATTTGCGCGTGCAACATTTATAACGTAGCGGAATTTAAAATTTCGCGAAAGCCCTTCGCAAATTTGCGCGCAACGACGGTGCGCTTGTCAATTATTCGCGAGTCAATCGACGAAAAACTATAACAAAGACCCAGTAGTGCAGCTTGTAAAAAGTTTGCCCGAAAGCTTGTTCGGAATATTTTGTTCGAAAGTTCTCTGAGAATTTTGATGCATTGAGAAGCATTCTCCTCTTTTCTATTTTTTTTCCCTGAATAAATAAATATTGTTTTACAGGAGCGTAGACTTCCTTTTACGAGTTCTGTACTTTTATTAAGCACGTGCGACGCTCCTCGTATCGATTATTATATATATTATTCAATTTTACAATTGGATTGCATAGTTGAGATAACACGGGCTTTCGGCGAGAACGCCAAGGGCTCTCGCTTAATTCTACGTCACACGTGATACGTAGCTCCAAAATGACACATCCTGCGCATTCTTTGATTATTTAAGGGGTCAGAGTACATATCTCACCGCGGCTCCGCATATACGTCACGTTCTCCTCGGAAATTATTTTACGCTCGTAGCTCCTAGGTACTCACATTATTTGTAATCACATTATATCCTCGAATTACTCTTACCAAACGTCAACCGTTATGCTCCACTATTGTTCGGCTTAATCAAATTCTCGGCTCGCCACGGTTTATTTCCTCGACCTTATTTATGCATCCGTCGGTGTCTACTGCGTTATTGAAGTCACTTTCCGAATTTTTGTATAAATCATTTCAATCACATATTTATATCATTATAAATTTCAATAAAATTTCACATGTAAAGAAAAGTAAATCGTATAATACTTTAATTTCTTTAGAATTTCAAATTTTTTGTTCAGTATCATACGATTGCATTGTCCTATTTTATATTTATATTAGGGGGATACATCTTCATTATTTAAGGAATCAAAACCCATGTACGCATATATATTATTACGTAGACAACATATATATTATTACGTAGACAACATATATATTATTACGTAGATAGAGTGCCTCAAAGTTATTTTGCAAGATAGGCTCTCGCTTCTATATATGTACTATTTCCCCATGTACGTGTTTGACTCGTAAACGCGATGGGAAGTCAAACGAATGAGGGACCATTGTAAAGAGTAAAGAAAGATGGAACAAGATAGGTAGTAAAAAGAGAGAAACTGGGAAAAGAGTATCCGTGAATTTTTATCTTATCTTCATTTATAAATTTTTCCTATTAAAAAATTCGGAATCGATTTTCACTTGACAATAATATAAAATTATAATCATTATTTTTATCATAAACAACAAAGGAATCGCTATATAAAGAGATTTTCATTAAGTTAAATTTTCCAATTTAAATGTAGAAATTATGAGAGGAAAAATATAACAATTTTTCAAAAAATATAATATTAAATATAATACAATATATATTTTTTATATTTTATAATATATATTATAAAATATAATTAGTACATAAAAAATGTAGGAAACCTATAAGTATTATGATATAAAACATGAGTGATTTTAATTTCAATTATGATATTCCGAAAGAATAATTAATTTTAGGTGGGTAAATTTGCGAAGGGCTTTCGCGAAAGTAAAATTGATAAACGTTGTCGAAATATAAAATTACACTATTTTGCTATTTTGCGGATATCCTGTACGCGAGCTAAAAGAAAAAAAGGATAGAGAGAGGTACAGCTGACGGCGATAGTATGTGGAAGAAAGTACACGGATGGACCGACGACGTAATATCGGGAGTCTTGAAACGGTAATCGATATCGCATATATCTTCGACGATGTATATTCAACCGTCCTTCCACGGTTTTCGGAAAGGAACCCCTTAATAAAACTACTTACGAGCCTCCGAGACTCGACTCTTCTGGCTATATCTCTCGGGTCCTCCCCCTCTTATCTTTCATCCCTTTCGTTTCTATATTACGGCGACCTAAGGGACCGCTGGCGATGAAAATACGTGAAATACGCCATCACACCGTACGACTCTATTTATTAACTCTGCCTCTCTCGCGCTGCCTCTTTCCTCGAACTTAACTATCATCTGCGAGGTGTGTATTCGATTGTATATTAAATCGATTATGTGTATTTTGCAACGGATCACTTTCAGTGATTGAGTTTGTCCCGCGAAAAATTTATGAATCCCATTTGAAATTTCGAGCACACATTTTTTAAAAATAAAATATGAAACATCTCCAAAGAGAATTTGAAGGAAAAAAACAATTTTTCAAATTACAGTCCTTTTATAAATGAACTATAATAAAGGTCGCATTTTGAAAAAAGCGTCCTCATGAGCATATATATATGGGCAATTTTCGAAAAACATAGCATGTTTTTCACTTCAAGTTGGGAATTTGGATCATTTTTTAAGAGAACACTTTA